TCACCGATGCCGTCGTCGGAGTACCGGTCCCCGACTGAGCGCGCCCTCGGCACGACCATCTCGTCCTCGCACAGTGTCCCACCGACGTTGTCTATTCCTCCCGTCTCCGCGGCAGGGCGGCGGCTCTTCCCGGCGGGCGGCTCTTCCTCGTGCTCGTCGCCGTCCGAGGGGGGCGGCGGCCGGTGGCGGGCCGCCGGACTGGCATCGCCGCCGGAGGAGCTCTCAGCGGCCGTGCTCACGCCCGAGCTGCTGCCCGTCGAGCGGACCGTGCCCTGTAGGCCGCCGCTGAACGTGATGACGCCCAGGTGCCGGGCTGTGCTCGGCGACGGCGTCGTGTCCGTCCGCTGCCGGGACGGCCGACGCTGGCACGGCACGTCCGAGCGGCCGACCGCCGCGTCACGGCGGTCTGTCACCTCCACCGCCGGCTGGTTCGGCGTCGGAGGGCTTCCGGTGGAAGGAGACGTCAAGCGACAATCGTCTGTGTCGCGCTCCCTGGAGGCCCGTGGTGTGCCGCCGCACACCTCCTCCCGCTTCCCCGGGGGCGGTGCGGCGCCCCGCGCCGGCGCCGGCGCCGGCGCCGGAGCGGCGCCCGGCGGGCGCCGCTCGCCACTCCTCCGGCCAACGTCCCGGCGCAGGATGTCCTGGAGGCTCACCTGGCGGCGCCGCTCGGCCGGCCCGACCGCCGCCTCGCCGCCGTCGGCCGGGCCCCGGCCGCCGCCAGTCTGGGACCGTGCGGCACCACCGTCGGCGGCGACGCGAGCGCGGTGCCGCGGCGCCGACGGTGTGTTGCTGGCGCTGGAGCTGGCCGAGGCTGCGCCGCGCGACCGCGCCGCCTCGGCAGCCGCCGAGCGCGAGCGCCGGATCGAGCGGCGCGTGATGTCGTGGCGCTGACAGCGAGCTGTTGCGCTGCGCCGGCCGCCGCGCCGCGCCCGTCTTGTCGCTGTCGCTGCGGCTGAGGCCGCGCCGCTCGGCCGCCTCGGTCGCCTCCTCGCGTCGGCCGGGAGAGCTCGGGCGCAGCAGCAGGTGCCGCCGCAGCGCCGCCGAGAGCCGCTGCGGCGCCGGCGGCTTGGCGCTGACGCGTGGGCTCGGCGCCGGACTCGGCGCGTTGGCGGCCATCCGCTGCGCGCTGGCGTCGCGGTCGTGCAGCGTCGACTCCTGACGGACGTAGTTGTCGAGGTTCTGGAAGCGAATGCCGGAGCGGGCGCGGTAGAGGACGGTGCCCCGGCTGGGCAGGCCGCCCCGCTCGTCCTGTTCGGCCACCACGGCCACCCGGCGCGGCTCCAGCGGAGCGCCGATCTTGATGTTTGACATGGCGTTTCACAGCCCCGGCTACCAACATACAGCGCCGTGTCAGAATCCGTGCCCGCGCGTCGATAGCAATTAATTCCAAGACCCCAGGGTGCTGACAGGCACACCTGGACGGCTGGATTCCATGCTCGGGTTTCGGCCCATAAAGGGGAAAACGCCCCAAGTTAGGGCGGGCTCAGAGGATGGAATTTCTATTTTTACCCAGTGCAGACGGAAAATCCGTTTGGGGATGGAATCAGTTGCATAAGATGTGGCAGCACGCTACTGCAACCCGCACGCCAGCAAGAGTAACTCTCATCGAAGTCATCTCGGAGGTCAGCATAAACAAACCGACCGGCATTTAGAACAATGCGACGCGTCGGTCCCACAACACGTGACACGGTGACCCCTGGCACTATGATTGCCGGGGCCACGCGACTGACCCTGTGTCTGTGGTCGGAGAGGATTTACGTCCTTGGCCGCGTGCACACGAGCAGTTGTGTGACCGAGGGCGCCCCCGACGACGCTGAGACCTGACCTCTAGCCGTGCCGCCCTCCGTCGACCGGGCTGTCATTCCGACGAGCGGCGGCCCGGCGACGGGCGCGGGGCGGGCGCCTTCCCGACAATGATCGACGCCGCGGCCGCGCCCCGCCGCGACGACCGGCGGCACGGCAGACGGCGACAGCGCCGGCGCACCGCGGGAGACGCGTGCGTGAAAGGCTCCGCGCCGGGAGACGGCGCCGGGCTAGTCGTCGGATCGCGGTCTGGCCGCAGATGCAGGCCGGCTGACCAATCGGAGGACGAGCCGCTCGGTCGGGCGGCAGCGGCGAAAGGCGCTCGAGTTCCCGAGCGGCATTCTGCGCTGACAGTGTGGTGGTTAGCGGGGGCCACCTCCGGCGGAGCCCGCCGTGATAAATAACGTCTCTCTCGGCGATCTGCTCGTTTCCTATCAGCGCCGAGCAGGCGACAAACGAGCATGTATTGCCGGCGGCGGCTCGGGCGCGGGCGGGCCTGCCCACCGCGGTCGGCGGGTGGCCGTTTCGCCGGACCTGAGCACGGCCTGGGCGGCCGAGCTCTGCCGCGATGCACGGCGCGCGGCACAACGGCGGCTCTGTTTCGTCAGCGGCCCGGCGACGCGGACGGCCGGCGCCCGCTCACCGCCGCTGCCGCCACCCACGGCTGATGGAGCGGCCGCGCGTACGCGCGCCGCGCTTGGGAATTATTGGCCAGCGTCGTAATGACCCGCCCCGGGACAGATTGGTGCCCGCTGTTGGTGCCTTAATTGACCCGAGAGCTAAAACAAACGGCTCTAGATGGCCGCCGCGGCCAGGGTCAGCGTGTTGAAACATGCTCGCCGGCGGGGGTGTTCAGTTACTCGCGGCCCGGCGACCGAGCAGCGGCCGCCGCGCTCCAGGAAGCGGTTATCCGCACGACATTGTGTGGGCCGGGCGTAAACAAGGCGATAAATCGGCTGGCGTTACACCACGGCGGCAGTGTCACTGCGCGCGCGTGGCCGAGCTGACCCGACCGGCTGGGGTCGCGTCGGACGCGACCGACCGGCGAAAGTGGTCGTGTGCGTCGACAGACGTCCGAGTGACCCCGGCGCACGCGCCCGCACGGCGCGCGCGTCGTCATCGGCCGGGCCGGCGCGTGCGTGCACGCGGGCGTGCGCTCTGGCGCGCAGGGCGCGCGCTGTGCGCTACCGACGGCGCACGCCGGCCGCGCCGCCGCCAGGGGCGCCGGAAGAGGCCGGCGTTCCTCCGTCGACCGCTCGTTAGGGGGCCGCCGATGGATGTGTGCGCTGCCCGGGGTGAGGCCACTGGAAGCATTAACCCTGCATGCATTCCGGGCCGAGACAATTACATAATTGTAGGAGGAGGAGGAGAGGTGAGAAATGGGAGCGAGGGGCGAGGGACCACGCAGAAGCAGGGTGGAAAACCGGGTGACTGCTCGGTGCTCGATCTTACCTCTCAGGTAATGAGAGGACCTCATTACGGTCAGGGCTGCCAGCCATTGCTATGCGCCGACACACGCGCCCTTGTAAAACAGCAGCTCGCAGCTAATTTCGAGCCACCAAGCAGTCACGCCGCGGTCCGCAGGCGGCCGGATGGTGGACCAACTTCTGGTCGTAATTTGTGACCGCCCCAGAGTGCCAGGTCACGTGGCGGCAGTAGAGGCGCACGCGCCGGCCGGCCGCTTGACCCGACTGACCCGGCCGCGGACTCGGCGGCCGGTCGGATGAGAGTAACACAGTCACCCGCACAGAGGGACCACGGACGGGCGTCCTAGCTGGAGGTGTGGCGGCGTAGTCCTGCAAACGCACCTCGCCTTGCTATTCCAGGGCAGTGGTAAGCGGTTGATGCACCTGAAACGTGCAAATACAGGGCGGTGGATGGGGCGGGGACCATTCAGCGCACTTGGCGATGAAGGGGTGGAGTCCGGTCGAAATGGACGGACGAGGCCTCGCGCGGCGGCCATGAGCGACCATGTGACAGCGGTCCGCACGTTGAAATCATCGACTACGGATTGGCGCGGCCGCACAGCGCAGCACCAAACAATAAACAACAAGACGGAACCCAGCAACAGCGTCAAAATGACCGGACGATGTTCCGGGGTATTTCTCGCGATTTCTAGCTTGTTCTCCATCCCTGTTTGCCTCTGGCCGAATCGTTCAAACGATCACCGAACTCCCGGGGCCGTGTATTTTCCGCGTCATTATCGATGCGCACTGACCGCCGGCCGCGTCGGTGCCGCCTCACCGCGGACGGCGGGCGATCACACGAAATGACAGACAGCCCCCTTCCCCTCCCCCCGACCGGGGACGACTGAGCCCGGCACCGAAACCCACTTCAGACCGCCAGGGAGCGGCGCAGTCTCCAGTCTCCGCACGCGTCTCCCACGATTCGCACGAGCGACGGGCGAGCGCCGGCCACCCGGCACACAGCGGGGCTTTGTCGTCGGTTTTTTGCCCCGTCAGGCGATTTAGAAGCGGCGCGGTGGCCATTTTTGACAGACGCCGGACAGCCGAGACGTCATTTCCGCTCTGAGCGCGCTGGAGCACAGAGACGCACCAAATGACGCAGAAAATGTATTCACTTCAGCCTGCGGACGCTGCCCAGGGCGAGTGAACCGTGAAGAGGGCACCGCTCACCCTGATCCGTGGCTCACAGCTATTGGCTTAGACAACTATGTCTGTCTTTACTGTACTCGGTCGTGAATTTGGATCATTGGATTCAACAGCCTTTCATTTGTTTTCTAGTTTTCAATCTTTGGTCCTCGCGAATACCAATGACGTTTACTGACTTAGATCGCGTTTTAGGGCCAGCTTCTCTTTATTACGCTCCTATGCTCCCATGGCTTGAACCAGACCCCATGACAGGTCAGCGCGCCGCGGTGTGCTGGAATTTGTTAGGACCACGGCGTTATAGTACCGACATCTGAACACAAAACACGCGCCGCTGATCATGCTGCCACTGTCCTGAAGTTTCGCTGATAAGCGCTTTCAAAGATTACAATTACTCCCTCGTTCACGAATACAACAAAGAACCTCTTGATTGGTTCGGTACCTTCACGACACAGCTTTTTTGTGAGGTCATTTCCCCGCTGACGTGGCGTTCTGAAGTGGCGGCCGGGCCCCGGGGCGGAGCAGCTTGCTGACGGTGGGCGGGGGACGCTGGAGCCGACAGCGCGCACGCGAGCACCATTAGAGCCACGGCAAAAAGGTGGCGGCGCAAATCGGGCCTCGAACCCGGCCGCACCGTACCGCTGAGCCAGCGGACACGGCCAGCAGCGGAGGCGGCGGACCACGGCCGCTGAGCCAGCGGACACGGCCAGCGGCAGAAACGGCGGACCACGGCCGCTGAGCCAGCGGACACGGCCAGCGGCGGAGGCGGCGGACCACGGCCACTGAGCCGCTGGACGCGGCCAGCGGGGGAGGCGGCGGACCACGGCCGCTGAGCCACCGGACACGGCCAGCGGCGGAGG